CGCCACTATTCTTGACCTCCATGGCTAAATGGCGCCATTGACCTGGGGGGAGGGTAGATCGATGACGGCAGTGGTTGTTTGTGGGGAGGGGGAAGATCGTTATGGGAAGGGTCGGGGGTTTGCTGGTGGAGGGGTGTTTGGGGGTGAATAAGTTAGTTGTTACTAGTGGGAGGGAGTAGGGGGGGGATGGTTGTCACTTGGTAATAACTAAGGGGCTAACAGTTTTTTGTGACTGTTAACGTGGCTTGAACCTTAATATTTGAATCGCCCTGGACACTAGCCCAAAGACACTCATTTGCCACATATTCGTAATTCTAATGAACAGTGCCCATGGACTCTTGCTGAAAACAGTCTCCTTGATGTTGGGCTTAAGTATTTAACATCTCTTGTGGGTTTAGTGTACTTAGTTTTGATAGTGGATCCCAATGGAAGTAAGTCACTCTGTCTTTGACTTTTTTGGGTTATCCTAGGTTCTCTACACACATGCTGCTATGTGTGATAATCTATGTAACTGTATTTGTGTATGCCTGAATAAACTTACTAGTGGTAGTAATATGGTTTGACCTGGTAGACGGCATGAGCTGCCTTTAGTGCCTCATGCAGGTTTATAATTTATTAATGGAAATAAGTCAAGGACTCCAGTGGTAATAAGTCACTGTCTCTTTTGGGTTATCCTAGGTAATCTACACATATGCTGCTATGTATGATAATTTGTGTACCTGTACGTGATTGAACTTTCTAATCACCAGTTTCAATCCTTAGTAAGCAAGTATATTTAGGTACGGGTACGCATTATCATGTAGTGTAAATTACCTAGGATAAGCCAAAGTTAGTGCTTTAGTTCAATTTTAATTATCCCGAAATGCATTGCATACCAGTGTTTCCCTTTTGTGCCTACCAGTGTCTTATTATATGTAAACTATATTGTGTTCCTAGAGTATATAGAGAAATGCAAATATTTGAATGTGAATTTGACCTGTTTAGTATCTTTATTATGTACCCCATACCCATCCTGTGGGCGGTAGTCAAAAAGATTTACAGATACATAATGGATCCAGGGACTGGGCCACAGTTTTGGTAGCCGAACAAGTTACAAAAGTAATGAACCATTCACACGTCCACACCTGACAATTGCAATAAGTTATTAATACAAATATTAGCTTTATTTACAGTGAGAAGAATCAGGGTATTCTTCCAGAATGGTTTGTAATACACCACCGTCCCCTCAAGGAAGGTTCCTTGATGGTGGTGAGGTGCTCTGGATTTAGGGAATTGGATCTGTGCTCCAGTTCCTTGAATTAAGCCTGAATACCTTTCACATCCCCAACAGGCACTGTATAATCCTACGGGTTTAGCGCTTCCCCCTTGATTATAATAATATACCACCGTGGATAAAATACTTCGACATTTCTTGAACATTTCTGAGTGAGTTCTCTGAATTCATTTTTTTTCGCATTCCAGTACATAATGGCGTAGGGTGTGATAATAGTCCATCTGGCAAAGTTTACATTTCGTTTCGTCTACATCCGGTGGTGGTGGTTAATCTGCCAAAGATATAAATAACAAAAAGGCACAATACCGTGACTGGAACGATACACAAATAACCCGCACATAAAAGAGAAGCTTACGACGACGTTTCGGTCCGACTTGGACCATTGACAGTCACACTAACAGAGGTGGAGCAGGACGGCTATATATAGGCAAGAAGAGGTGGAGGTAGTAGTAGTAGTAGTAGTACAAGAATTGTATATAATACCGACAAGATGAAATTAAGACACATGCACAACACCCGGGCATCACCATCATAGACGTTTCGCCATTCAGCCAGCCACTGGATGGCGAAACGTCCACAACAAAGACAACCAGAAGCTGCACATGTGTCTTAATTTCATCAGTAGTTGTAGTAGTAGTAGAAGAAGAGGTAGTAGTAGTGGTAGAAGTGGGAAATAAGGATGACGAGCCAGTCAAAAACAAAGGAAGGGGAGCACTGCAAGAGAGCTAGATGCCCACAGGAGGAGAGCAAGCGCACAGAGGTGCGTGAAAGGGGAAGTGGTGAAATAAAATAAATGAAGAAGGAACAGAAACACGAGACAGGAGAAAGAAAGACAACCCAGAGGAGAAAAGGAAAGAGGAAAGGGGAAGAGGAAGAAGAAAAAGAAAGAAAAAATGAGGATTCAGGTTAAGTCACGGGTGTTCTGAAGTTTGGAGCATTTTACAATGTAGTGGGAGAGGAAGGCATCTACAGAGACGAAGCCAGGGCTAAGGTTCATACAAGGAGAGTTGTGTATTAGAGAGGATTCAACTAGACGGCGACTGTTCGAGTTGGAAGTAGGGAAGACAGTTTTAGCAGAAGACCAATCAATAGGATGGCTATGATCTCTGATGTGACAGAAAAGAGCATTGTTAGTGTCGGCAAGCCTAACACTATTTTTGTGCTCCCTAAGTCTGTCAGAAAGAGATCGACCAGTTTCTCCGAAGTATTGAAGAGGACAGGAGGAGCAAGAAATAGAGTAGACACCAGGAACATCTGTAGAGAGAGGAGAGGTATGAACGAGATTAGTGCGAAGAGTGTTAGTCTGGCGGAAGGTAAGCTTGGTGTCTAAGGGCCGGAGAGAATTGTCGAGATTAGAAAGACCGGAAATGTAGGGAAGGCAGAGGAACTCTTCTATCCTCTGCCTTCCCTACATTTCCGGTCTTTCATTAATCTCAACAATTCTCTCCGGCCCTTAGACATCAAGCTTACCTTCCGTTAGTGTGACTGTCAATGGTCCAAGTCGGACCGAAACGTCGTCGTAAGCTTCTCTTTTATGTGCGGGTTATTTGTGTATCTGCCAAAGATACTTGTAACCCAGCCGGAGCCGAGCGGTAGTAACATCCCAGAGTCTGCTTATTTTGTTGGATGCACCACAGACATATGGCTGCTCCTGCATGATGGTAGATGGATTGACTGGGCAGTCATCCTAGGATGCCCTCGTACTGCCAAAATTTTAAATATGCGGGAAGAACTTGATATTCCAAACATCAGAGATGATCATCTTATGACCAGAGCTTTGGTAAGATGGGTAAGGAAGAAGGATGGGTAAGGATAGAAATATTGGAAAAGGGCGGGAGGGGGGAGAGAGGTAGGATATAAAAGGTAAGTGGCCGAACCACTTTGGTGTAATTTAAAACACTCACCACACTGAGTGGTGGGAGGACTGGCTGCCAGTTGCCGGGGTCGGTGGGAGGATAGTAGGGACTCGCAGTGGTGGAGGAAGTGGTGGAGGCATTGGAGGAGTCTGTGGTATTTAATAACATGCATGTTATTAAAGCATAACATGTATATATTTAGTACAATTTACGACATTTTCATGTATTTTATGATTGTTCATGGTTCAACAAGTTAAGGAAGCAGTATTGTATTATATTTCCCTACAATATATTAGGGCACCAAACATTCACGATTTTTCAACATTCGCGAGGCTCTTGATCCCCTAACCCTCACGAATGTTGAGGGAGACCTGTATATGTACCTGTACCTAAGTAGGCGTCATTTCTTCTAAAAATAATGTTACATAAGAATGGGAGTGTTTCTCTTTATTCTACTGTATCAACGTGGAGACAACTTGTAGATTAGATTTAGATTTTGCCACCGAAGTGGCTAGTTTATTGTGCACCCCATATCCATCCTGTGGACGGTAGCGCGAGAGCATATGGATACACAAAAGGCCTAGGAACTAGGCCCCAAAGGGTTAACAGGAATACATATGGATTTATATCTACATATCTATAGTTCACTTATCTGTTACAAGCAAATTTAGGAAATTTGCTTAGTATATCTGGTATCTTATTTTCATTAATAAGATATCTTGACATGTCACATAGGTTATTATACTGTCTGTCTCTGTATTCCTCAATAAGTGGACAATTAAGCACATAGTGTTCAAGAGAGTGACCATATGCCTGATCACATAATTTACATTTAGTTTGATCATCATCTGTGTCTCTCCCAAACTGCCAGAAGTACTTGTAACCAAGCCTAAGCCTGGCCACTACAACATCAGTCAGTCTGTTCACATTGCAAGTTGCTCCATAAACATACTTATCTACGTTCATGTTATCATAGTGGGTTATAGATCTACTCAGGCTTCTAACTGCATTCCTATAACAATCATCTTCATTATTTACTTCTCTCCTAATATTATTCCTAATGCTAGACACAGTTATACCAAAGTTATATTCTACGTTCTCCTTCTGGATACTCTTCTTGGCTAACATATCAACTTTATCATGAAGGAGTAATCCAATGTGTGATGGGATCCATAGCAACTTGTATACAATGTAAAGTGACGAAAACCAGATGCGTCTGTCTGGTTTGTTTACATTACATATGGGTGGGGAGGGCTGCCCTTCCTGGCTACCCATACTTCCCAACCTGACTTCATACAAATAAAACTCACCTCTCGCCCTACATTAAGACTACAAATATTTTAAGGTAATCACTGAAAATACTGTACATACATTTTATAGCTCTGGGGAGCTTTAATTAACTGTAGTATACGTGTGGGTGGGGTGGGCTGACCTGGCTGGCTACCATACCTCCCAAACCTGGCTTCTTACAAATTAAACTCACCTCTCACCCTACATTAAAACTACAAATATTTTAAGGTAAGTAATGGGTGTACTGTGTTTGTATTTTACTTTTTATTGTTTTTAATGCCTAGTTCTATTGCTAATGTAATATGTTAGTTAAACTTATCTGGCATTTATATACATTTATAAGTGGAAAAATGGCATTCTGCTTTCCAGCAGTAGCCTGGAACCTAACCTGCCGAATAAGTGGAAACGAAACCCTTGATGGACACCTATGCGCCTCCTTCTACCCCTTCTTTTTCACAACCCTCACAACAATCTTTTCCTTCACAGCATTCTAATTGCTCCTTGCTTACACGCTTACCGTTGTCCCCCACACATTGACTTCACTGACCCTAATAGCCCATAGATTTTATTGCTTCTTGTTGGCATACCTGTTTTTGTAAATGTCTTGTTTACAGTGGAATATT